TTTGCTCTCTAAACTTAATGTAATTGTCAATAGAAGCCTTTGACACTTATGGAATGCTTGTAATTATACTTCAGTATACCATAGTAACATCTGACAAAAATATCTAAAAACACTGAAGCAGCAAACTTTGTGAAGACCAATACTTATGTCATTCTCAAAACTTTTGACCACGACTGTACACTGCTCCCTACTGGACAGTGTGGTAAAAACACAAACACACGCACACACTGATCTGCATGCGCAGACAGTGTAAATCACACACAGACACATACACACAAGCACAAAGTGTACCGGTCACAACGTAGTAACAATAGTGACAGTAGCAGTGGGAGTAGAGGCTTCGGGGAAGTGATCCCTCCCCGTGTCAGTCAGTCAGTCAGTCAGTCAGTCAGTCAGTCAGACAGACAGACAGACAGACAGACAGACAGACAGACAGATATTGACTCTTTGCTGCAAATATTGACTCTTTGCTCTCTAAACTTAATGTAATTGTCAATAGAAGCCTTTGACACTTATGGAATGCTTGTAATTATACTTCAGTATACCATAGTAACATCTGAAAAAAATATCTAAAAACACTGAAGCAGCAAACTTTGTGAAGACCAATACTTATGTCATTCTCAAAACTTTTGACCACGACTGTACACTGCTCCCTACTGGACAGTGTGGTAAAAACACAAACACACGCACACACTGATCTGCATGCGCAGACAGTGTAAATCACACACAGACACATACACACAAGCACAAAGTGTACCGGTCACAACGTAGTAACAATAGTGACAGTAGCAGTGGGAGTAGAGGCTTCGGGGAAGTGATCCCTCCCCGTGTCAGTCAGTCAGTCAGTCAGTCAGTCAGTCAGTCAGTCAGTCAGTCAGACAGACAGACAGACAGACAGACAGACAGACAGACAGACAGACAGACAGACAGACAGACAGACAGACAGACAGACAGACAGACAGACAGACAGACAGACAGACAGACAGACAGACAGACAGACAGACAGACAGACAGACAGACAGACAGACAGACGATCTTCCTAGTACTCTTTGTTTTGCAATGATGCAACGACAGAGTTTCCACTGGAGTCTCTGGCTCTAACTGCTGCCAATACTTTAATAGTGAGGATGAATCTTCTTTTTTGCTCATATCAGGCTAATGAAAGGCACGTAGTGCTATTCTTTCCATCCAGCCTGATGTCCAAAATATAATAATTATTCCTACGTTCCCTCTGAATTCCACTGACGACACTGTTATTGTTTTGGGCTTGATCTCTTCTGGCTTAAATGGCTTCTCTATGAGCTCCTGACCTTGCTGTGAACTCTCTATGACCCGAGCATATGCGCTCACACACACACACACACACAATCACACACACACACACACACTCACACACACACACACACACATGCGCACACAGCTCTGACAACACCCACTAAACGGCCTGTTCTCCAACAGTACAGTACACTTTCTCTGACACTGACCTCTTGATCCTCTTCACTTAAACAGAGCAGCTTCAAACCATCCTGCACAGTCTGGCTGTCTGATCTGTAAAACCCTCTGGGCTCTGAGATGGATAGTTATATCCCTATAGTGCTGTACTGAGTGTCTCCTCTCTTCTCTCTTTAAGGGAGTGTTCTGTTGCAGTCCTGTCCCCTTTATGTAGAGTTTTATGGTTCCTCCACTTTCCTTTCCTTTCATCTCCTGTCCTCTCCTGTCCTCTCCTGTCCTCTCCTCCCTGTCCCTCTGTAGCAGTAGTAGCGTTTTATGTCTCTAGCCCAGCCAGCCCCACCCGTCATGTATGAGGATAGCAGGCTCTGTGGAGTCGGGAGGCTGCAGGCAGGAAGTGGGAGATTTCCTGGAATGTGCCTTTTTCCCCACAGTGGTGCAACAACAGCGTCGTGCTCCTCCTGTTTTTGTCCCGCTCCACTCCGCGCTGCAGCTCCCTGTCCTGGTTTTGTTGCAGGGAGACAGAGGGGAGGACGGGGGGAAGGCTGGAGGCCAGGTGTCCAGGGGTCCAGCCAGGGGGAGAGCTGACCCCTCTGTGCAGTCCCCCAGTCTGTGCTGTGATATTTGAGATATATTTTATCTCAGATCTCAGGAAGAACAGCCCCCCTCCTCCGCCCCCCTAGACAAACAAACCTCCTTTTCCATAGAGACTTGCTCTGGACTATAAGATCTGTTGGAGCAGCAGTAGTATCTTAGTACTGTAAATCAACCAGATATATGGCTTTATTTATTATCCCCAGCAGCTGGCGCAATACAAACAGTCTCTTATTTCATCTGAACACTACAGCGCCAAACTCTGTCGTTTGCACCATAGATCTTAGCCCTCTCTCCCTGCATCCCAAACCAACTCCTTGTGAAATGGGAGATGTGTGTTCATCGGTCCAGTAGAGTTGAGCCGTGCCTGTCACATTTGTCAGAAGGAGTATTGCTGCACAGAAGGATGACATCACTCTCCTCTGAGAGCAGCACAACAGTCCCCGGGGGAGAGCCAGGGGTCACAACCTTTCCCACTGCCTGTCGATGCTTCCCAGAGCCCTGGAGACTGATGTGAATGGTGGGGCAAGCCAGCCTGGGAACTGGCCTCCAGCCAGGCTACACAGGGCTTCCCTAGACCCCTGGCCCTCCAGGCAGGCAGCCTCTGGCCTCTGGCCCGGCCTGCAGCCAACCTGGACTGGGCTGTTTGTGGGGCAGTGACACCATGGCTGGCTTATACGTCTGTGGGCACCGACTGACACTGTGTGTGACGTTTGGTGTGATGCTGTGTGACGTTGTGTGTTACATGGGCCAGTGTATGAGAGTCAGAGGACATGGGTCAAGGCATGGCCAGCCTACTCTCGGACAGAGGGCTCCCATTGTCCACTGGAAGTCTAGTCCTACTGGTGCAGTACATGACACACAATGCATTGTGTGGGCCTTGGTGGCTGAAGTTATTACATGAGACATGTTATTGATCATCCTAATAGCTTCGTAATAACTCTCTAAATGTTTGACCACCTGCTGATTTCTATCTCTCCACTGACTCAGACAAGTGGTTGACCGTGGTGGAAAAAGTACTCAACTGTCATACTTGAGTAAAAGTAAAGATACCTTAATAGAAAATGACTCAAGTAAAAGTGAAAGTCACCCAGTAAAATACTACCTGAGTAAAAGTCTAAAAGTATTTGGTTTTAAATATACTTAAGTATCAAAAGAAAGTGTAATTGCTAAAATATACTTAAGTATCAAAAGTCAAAGTAAAAGTATAAATCATTTCAAATTATTATTATTATTTATTTTTAAAATTTAGGGATAGCCAGGGGCACACTCCAACACTCAGATATCATTTACAAACAAAGCATTTGTGTTTAGTGAGTCTGCCAGATCAGAGGCAGTAGGGATGACCAGGGATGTTCTCTTGAGAAGTGTGTGAATTTGACAATTTTCCTGTCCTGCTAAGCATTTAATATGTAACGAGTACTTCTGATTGTCCGGGAAAATGTATGGAGTAAAAAGTACATTATTTTCTTTAGGAATGTAGTGGAGTAAAAGTAAAAGTTGTCAAAAATATAAATAGTAATGTAAAGTAGAGATACCCCAGAAAACAACTTAAAGTAGTACTTTAAAGTATTTTTTACAAATACATACACAGTGGAACAGTTGTTGACTATTCTCACACACATACCCTATTCACATAAACAATACACAGTAGTGACTGCATCTCCAGCCTTCTTGCATTGTCTCACTGGAACTTGGACAATCTGGCTTAAAGGGCCAATCCTTAGTTGAAACAATAACAAAGCGTAACCCTGCCTCTGTTTTGGTTAAAAGGTAAAGGGTGGGCCTGGAGAAATGTAACCACTCAAATTCATGGACAGAGCTAGGACTGACCATCCAAGATATCAAAATGATAATTTCAAGCATGTTTTGAGGCTATGTAGTGTTTATTTACAATGTTTACAAACACTGGAGTAAAACAAGCTTATATTTGGAGTTCTGATATGGTTTGACAGTTGAACTAAGGTCATGAGGAAATTATAAATTATATTCTTCAAGAATCAATATGTATATATTATTAATTAAAGTCCAAAAATGGATGTAGGAACTGCAGATTGACCCTTTAAGCTTTACATTTACGTCATTTAGCAGACGCTCTTATCCAGAGCGACTTACAAATAGGTGCATTCACCTTATAGCCAGTGGGATAACCACTTTACAATGTTTGTTTTTTTTGGAGGGGGGGGGAGCATTCATGCGTAATATCAACGTAAATCTCGACGGGCACTAAATTACTATCTTAAATTTGTTGTCAGGTTGTATCTTTCACATGATGTTCTCACTGAAAATGAAACATTTCAAGAAAATGGAAACGGGAGGAGTTATGGGGAGGACCGCGAGTTCAGTGGGCAGGGCTCAGCCATTCAACGGGGGACGGAGGAAGAGAGGAGATTGAAAGAGAAGAGGAGGATTGAGAGAGGGGGAACAACACAGACAAGAGAGCTGTGACGGATTGTCTCTGTGTAGTGAAGAAAATATTTTACAGAGCAGGAACGCTGGGGACTGGAAACATTTCTTGCCTGGGTTGACTGTTTATACCGTGTTCTGATGCAGTCCCCGGATTATGAGAGAAGCGCTGACCATGAGATTCGCCTGGAAAGCTAAGATGGTAAAAAAAAAAAGTTCCTCTGTTTTCCGTGCTGCAGACTGTTGATTTTGTGGTTTGAGAGTCAGCTTTCAGAGAGCCTGGAGAGGGAGGGGGTATGCTTGGGAAAGTAGCGGATAAAGGAAAGGAAGAGGGGGGGGCGGCGGGGGATACATTTGAACAGTGAGTTTTAATTGTTTTCTCTCCCTCGACGCTCTCGTGGTGCACTTTAAATGGTCTGTATCGCCTACGCGTAAACGTTTTGCGTAAAGACGCGGGCGCGCTCTGGAAATGTAACTCGTGGCCGAATTTTTTTTACCGTTAGTTTTTCCCAATAGAAATGAAAAACGTTTGTCTCTGAGCCGAGAGTGAAATGGGAGAACAATTGCCTTGGCCCTGGGGTGAGCGCTCCTCCACAGGTCCCTGCAGCTGCGTCTGGAGCAAGCACAAAGCCTACGGATCAGCCCAAAGACTATCTTGAGCGTATTGTTTTCACTCGGCTCAACACCAGTGTTTTGTGATGTCAGCAGAAGGTGGTCGGAGACAGACTACTGTTATTTGCCCGAGCAAATAGTCAATTCTGTAGTCAGCATCCCCCTCCAATAAATTGGAGCATCCTTCCAAACCGAAGCCTGTCCAGCAAGTCTGAACTTGGAGTTAGTAAACAAGCCATCTCCTGTTTATATCCTGGGGTCATTTAATATGCCATGTAGTCTCTGAACTCATTCCTATTCACAACCGTGTTTATCTCAGCTTTTGTATTATAGGCCTATTAGATGACACACTGAGCTGGGTCCTTTTAGAGGCTAAAATGTCCCCTGTGACATAATAACTTGTTTGATCTCTCTTTTTATAATTTTCGCCTGGGGCCTTTGGTACACCATAAGCCCCATCTTGGTCCACAAAGCAGGCAGGCCTTTAAACCCCAGTCTGAAAAACATTTATGCCTGGCACAAAGAGCAGGCTCTGTGCACAGACTGTGGACTCAGCAGGCTGGGCCACAGAGCAGAAATACCTCCTGCTATTGTTTTGGAGTGGACTGGACTGCATAACTCACTGAGTGAAGTATTTATCTCTCAGGCAGGCAGAGAGGCAGCACTGTACAGGAAACGGATGGAAAATACAGACATGCTGGCCTGTTTTATCTCCTGCACTCAGTTACTCCTCTGTGGCCCTCTTTCTCTCTCCACCAGAGCCCATTGCCACCACACAGTTTATCAGTGCCTGACTGTGATTGTTTGGGGTGGGTTCCCTGCCTGGCCCTCTGTGCTGTGTTTTTGTTACAACCCAAACAGCCACCCACAACAGTCTCGGGCTAAGTGCCACTGGCCTTCAGAGCTGGTCTTTGAGCCTGTTAACGGCCAGTCGTGACCTTTGACTCTAGCTGCCACCACTCTGTGTGGGGAGGGAGTGGATTTTGCCATTGTCCTGTTATGGTGGCAGTGAAAAGTGAGAGTGTGGACTTGGCTGGAGTGCTTCTGTCCTCTAAACAGCTCCTCTTTATGGGATTGAAATGAGCTCTGGTTGCAGTCACTGCATGTGGCTGCCTTCCTCCTTGACTCGGCTGATTTTTTTAATTTGAGAGTAAACTGCAGATCTGTGTCTGTGTGCTCTGCATAGCTGAGAGGCAGTATGCCGCCAATATGGATTCAGAGCCACAGAGTAGACTGCATTGTGAGGAGCAGTGAGAGTGTATATGTGGAGCAGTGAGCGTGTGTGTGTGTGGAGTGAGTGTGTTTGTGTGTGTGTGGCGCAGTGAGCAGTACATGTACTGTATTTCCACCAGCTCCAGGCTCCGGGAGGGAGGTTTCAGGTTGAGCCAGTCTCAACCAGACAGGCAGGGGATCTTTTATTGTCTTTAGTCTACAGACAATTCTCAGCTTTAGTTCTCATCTCCAGTGGCCTTCTTCAGCTCTCAGAGAGGGCGAAAGGAGTGGGGGTGGTGGAGACAGTCTCTCTCTTACTCTGTGGAGCTCTGCTCAGTCTAATTCTCTTTCTTTCTTTCCCTCTGTCATTGAGTCATAACAAAAGTACTCCTCTTTTGTTTCTAGACACACTTCAATTCTTTTTAAATGTGATACATTTAGCTACAGTTTTGGTTTGTTCAGCTTTGTGGTCCTGTGTACTAGAGGATGGTTTGTCTGTGTGTCAACAGCTCATTATGTCTCTCCCACAGAGCTCAGTGCAGGACTGGGGGGAGGAAGTGGAGGAGGGAGCAATATACAACGTGACACTGAAGAGGGTCCAGATCCAGCAGGCTGCCAACAAGGGAGCAAGATGGTTGGGGGTGAGTGGACCACTCTGCTCTTTCACTACAACACACTGATTGAAAGCACACAAACTTGAGAACTTGTGAGAGACCTTGTCAGGCTCAAACAATAACTCTGCTGAATGAGTTATATCTATAGACAGATTTAGTCTTTCCATTGGAGAATTCATGATACAATCACTAGTTGAACATGGCAACATTGGACAGATTGTATTACTTTGCGGAGTTATTGTAAGTCTATAGTTCTTTGTGAAAGGAGAGGTGTATAATAATAGTTTTGTGGATAGAGCTTGGCAGCTTCATTGTAAGATATACAGTAATGCCAATTTGCAATCACAGGGCGTCTCACAGCATTGTGTTGAAGGTCTGTTGTTTTAACATTTAAACTATTGAATTTTCCCATTTTTGCCAACACCCTGCGCAGGCCGTATAAAAACAACTTTTTCACAAGTAGCCTACTCAACTGTTTGTCTAAGTCATGTAATTTCCTGATTTGCCAGTTCGATAGAGAGAGAGGACTCTAGTGCCCAAAAGCCTGTTTTAGCATGGGCAGCGCCATTGAGGACTTTCACCATTTTGAAGTAGTCAACTGGGAGGGACTTCCTATGGGTTAAGGAAGGATCACAAATTCCATCCACATCATCAAGAGGGATCAGCCAATGAATTATACTAATTAATTATACTCACATTGCATAACTGCAGGTGGTAGTAAAATGCCAACCTTGGCTTTATACTTGTTCAAAATGCACCCTTTCAGTTTGTTTACCAACTCATAGAAGTAGTAGAATAATAAAATGTACTACTGCAAAATGGAGATGGCCTCAATGGTGCTGCCCTTGCTCTCACAGATGCCATAATGGGACAGGTGCAATGTTGCATCCTCTAACTATCTCTGTCCGGTTATAACTAGGTCATTCCATGTCATTTCAGCAAGCCTTGACACCCACAATCTCAGATTATTCTTAAATTGTTTCTGTAGTTAGAAATAGATAAGACAAGCATTCCAGAAACATTATTTTGTTGAAATATGATTTGATCTCTGAGATTGCACCTAAATTGTCAATTTTAATTTATAGGATCAATATAATATTCAATAATTATAGTACCTAACATATGATTTGGACCAAACCTTTTTCTAACAATGAGTAAGACATGAGGAATCCAAAAAAATGGTCAAAAGCCATCCACGGACCCCCCAACATCTCACGCCAATCCCACCCCAACAACGAGTATACAGTGCATTCGAAAAGTATTCCGACCCCTTGACTTTTTCCACATTTTGTTACGTTACAGCCTTATTCTAAAATGGATTAAATTCTTTTTTCCTTACATCAATCTACACACAATACCCCATAATGACAAAGCAAAAAGTTTTTTAGAAAATTTTGCAAATTTATAAAAAATAAAAAGCTGTAATATCACATTTAGATAAGTATTCAGACCCTTTACTCAGTACATTGTTGAAGCATCTTTGGCAGCGATTACAGCCTCAAGTCTTCTTGGGTATGACGCTACAAGCTTGGCACACCTGTATTTGGGGAGTTTCTCCTATTCTTCTCTGCAGATCCTCTCAAGCTCTGTCAGGTTGGATGGGGAGCGTCACTGCACAGCTATTTTCAGGTCTCTCCAGAGATGTTAGATCGGGTTCAAGTCCGGGCTCTGGCTGGGCCACTCAAGGACATTCAGAGACTTGTCCCGAAGCCACTCCTGCGTTGTCTTGGCTGTGTGCTTAGGGTCGTTGTCCTGTTGGAAGGTGAACCTTTGCCACAGTCTGAGGTCCTGAGCGCTCTGGAGCAGGTTTTCATCAAGGATCTCTCTGTACTTTGCTCCGTTCATCTTTGCCTCGATCCTGACTAGTCTCCCAGTCCCTGCTGCTGGAAAAACATCCCCACAGCATGATGCTGTCACCACCATGCTTCACCATAGGGATGGTGCCAGGTTTCCTCCAGACGTGATGTTTGGCATTCAGGCCAAAGTGTTCAATCTTGGTTTCATCAGACCAGAGAATCTTGTTTCTCATGGTCTGAGAGTCTTTAGGTGCCTCCAAGCGGGCTGTCATGTGCCTTTTACTGAGGAGTGGCTTCTGCCTGGCCACTACCATAAAGGCCTGATTGGTGGAGTGTTTTGCAGAGATGGTTGTCCTTCTGGAAGATTCTCCCATCTCCACAGAGGAACTCTGGAGCTCCTTCAGAGTGCCCATCGGGTTCTTGGTCACCACCCTGACCAAGGCCCTTCTCCCCCGATTGCTCAGTTTGGCCAGGCGGTTGGCTCTAGGAAGAGTCTTGGTGGTTCCAAACTTCTTCCATTTAAGAATGATGGAGGCCACTGTGTTCTTGTGGACCTTCAATGCTGCAGAAACTTTCTGGTGTCCTTCCTCAGATCTGTGCTTCGACCTAATCATGTCTCGGAGCTCTACGGACAATTCCTTTGACCTCTTGGCTTGGTTTTTGCTCTGACATGCACTGTCAACTGTGGGACCTTATATAGACAGATGTGTGCCTTTCCAAATCATGTCCAATCAATTGAATTTACCACAGATGGACTCCAATCAAGTTGTAGAAACATCTCAAGGATGATCAATGGAAACAGGATGTACCAGAGCTCAATTTCGAGTCTTATAGCAAGGGGTCTGAATACTTATGTAAATAAGGTATTTCTTTTTTTTTCTAAACCTGTTTTCGCTTTGTCATTATTGGGTATTGTGTGTAGATTGTGGAGGAAAAATATTTACTTAATCCATTTTATAATAAGGCTGTAACGTAACAAAATGTGGAAAATGTTAAAGGGTCTGAATACTTTCGGAATGCACTGTATAGTATCTGTTCTCTATGTTTGATGACTAGTATGGAACTGCGGCTCAGAGTATTGTTTTTTCATCCTATGTAATGTATTCTCAGTGAATTTGGTGTCTAAGGTCAGTTAAGATCACCACTTTATTTTAAGAATGTGAAATGTCAGAATAATAGTAGAGAGAATGATTTATTTATTTCAGCATTTATTTCTTTCATCACATTCCCAGTGGGTCAGAGGTTTACATACACTAAATTAGTATTTGGTAGCATTGCCTTTAAATTGTTTAACTTGGGTCAAATGTTTCGGGTAGCCTTCCACAAGCTTCCCAAAATAAGTTGGGTGAATTCCAGCCCATTCCTCCTGACAGAGCTGGTGTAACTGAGTCAGCTTTGTAGGCCTCCTTGCTCGCACACGCTTTTTCAGTTCTGCCCACACATTTTCTGTAGGATTGAGGTCAGGGCTTTGTGATGGCCACTCCAATACATAGACTTTGTTGTCCTTAAGCCATTTTGCCACAACTTTGGAAGTATGCTTGGGGTCATTGTCCATTTGGAAGACCCATTTGCGACCAAGCTTTAACTTCCTGACTTGAGATGTTGCTTCAATATATCCACATAATTTTCCTTCCTCATGATGCCATCTATCTTGTGAAGTGCACCAGTCCCTCCTGCAGCAAAGCAGCCCCACAGCATGATGCTGCCACCCCCGTGCTTCACGGTTGGGATGGTGTTCTTTGGCTTGCAAGCTACCCCCTTTTTCCTCCAAACATAACGATGGTCATTATGGCCAAACAGTTCTATTTTTGTTTCATCAGACCAGAGGACATTTCTCCAAAAAGTACGATCGTTGTCCCCATGTGCAGTTGCAAACCGTAGTCTGGCTTTTTTATGGCGGTTTTGGAGCAGCGGCTTCTTCCTTGCTGAGTGGCCTTTCAGGTTATGTCGATATAGGACTCGTTTTACTGTGGATATAGATACTCTTGTACCTGTATCCTCCAGCATCTTCACAAGGTCCTTTGCTGTTGTTCTGGGATTGATTTGCACTTTTCGCACCAAAGTACGTTCATCTCTAGGAGACAGAACGCGCCTCCTTCCTGAGCGGTATGACGGCTGCGTGGTCCCATGGTGTTTATACTTGCGTGCTATTGTTTGTACAGATGAATGTGGTACCTTGAACCAGATTTGTGGAGGTCTATAATTGTTTTTCTGAGGTCTTGGCTGATTTCTTTCGATTTTCCCATGATGTCAAGCAAAGAGGCACTGAGTTTGAAGGTAGGCCTTGAAATGATGTCAATTAGCCTATCAGTAGCTTCTAAAGCCATGGCATCATTTCCTGGAATTTTCCAAGCTGTTTAAAGGCACAGTCAACAAAGTGTATGTAAACTTCTGACCCACTGGAATTGTGATACAGTGAAATAATCTATCTGTAAACAATTGTTGGAAAAAGTACTTGTGTCATGCACAAAGTAGATGTCCTAACCGACTTGCCAAACAATAGTTTGTTAAAAAGAAATGTGTGTAGTGGTTGAAAAATGAGTTTTAATGACTCCAACCTAAGTGTATGTAAACTTCCGACTTCAACTGTACATCCAACAAATTCAATGACAAATTTATCTGAACAGGGGGAAAGAAATCATCACAAAATTCACTGAGAAATCATTACATAGGATTAAGAAACAATACTCCGAGCTGCAGCGGCATACAACTTGTCAAACATAGAGAACTGATACAATATACTCGTTGTTGGCGTGGTATTGGCGTTGCGTGTCAGTGGATGGATTTTGACCACTTCTTTGGATTCCATGTCTTACTCATTGTTAGAAAAAAGTTTGTTCCAAATCGGATGTTGGGTACTATCAATTTTGAATATTTATATGAATCCTATAAATTAAAATGGCCAATTTGGGTGCAATCAATCAGCTTAATTTCTCAGAGAACAAATGTATATTTCAACAAAATAACATTGCAGGAATGCTAATTTGATCTGTTTCTAACAACAGAAACGATTTCAGAACAATCTGAGATGGTGGGTTTTGAAATCGTCTTTCATGTGCTTTTTGAGATGGAACGATCCAACTGCCACCATAATTCTTCTTTCCCTGCATGTTGCATCCCGTAAAAGCAAAGCATATAGAGGAGAACAACTACTCCACATTATAACATGACAGTACAAATTTGGAGTACTTGTTTATTGTGGCATTATCCAGCCCCTGAGTGGGAGTGAGTGGGAGTTCTGTATATGCGTATGTATGAGTAAGCCAGTGAAAACAAGACATTGTCTGTTCTGTTGGTTGTCTCTCTGTGGTTGATGGTGATTGTAATCCCCCCATTTCTTTAGTGGGAAAGCAAGATAATGTAAACAGCAAGCCACAGTGCCACACTGGTGCTTTGTTTACTGTTGTGGCACTGCCCATAGAGTGCCATCCGAAGAAATGCTATACAAATGTAAATAAAATTTGAACGTATACAGTACCAGTCAAAAGGTTGGACACACCTACACATTCCAGGGTTTTTCTTTTCTTTTTACTATTTTCTACATTGTAGAATAATAGTGAAGACATCAAAACTATGAAATAACACATATGGAATCATGTAGTAAAACAACAAAATGTTAAACAAATCAAAGTATATTTTATATTTGAGATTCTTCAAAGTAGCCACCCTTTGCCTTGATTTAACAGGTGTGCCTTCTTAAAAGTTAATTTGTGCAGTTTCTTTCCTTAATGCGTTTGAGCCAATCAGTTGTGTTGTGACAAGGTAGAGGTGGTATACAGAAGATAGCCCTATTTGGTAAAAGACCAAGTCCATATTATGGCAAGAACAGCTCAAATAAGCAAAGAGAAACGACAGTCCATCATTAATTTAAGACATGAAGGTCAGTCAATCCGGAACATTTCAAGAACTTTGAATGTTTCTTCAAGTGCAGTCGCAAAAACCATCAAGCGCTATGATGAAACTGGTCTCATGAGGACCGCCACAGGAAAGGAAGACCCAGAGTTACCTCTGCTGCAGAGGATAAGTTTTAATTAGAGTTAACTGCACCTCAGATTGCAGCCCAAATAAATGCTTCACAGAGATCAAGTAACAGACACATCTCAACATCAACTGTTCAGAGGAGACTGTGTGAATCAGGCCTTCATGGTCGAATTGCTGCAAAGAAACCACTACTAAAGGACACCAATAATAAGAAGAGACTTGCTTGGGCCAAGAAACACGAGCAATGGACATTAGACCGGTGGAAATGTGTCCTTTGGCCTGAAATCTCCAAATTGGAGATTTTTGGTTCCAACCGCCGTGTCTTTGTGAGATGCAGAGTAGGTGAACGGATGATCTCCGCATGTGTGGTTCCCACCGTGAAGCATGGAGGAGGAGGTGTTATGCTGTGGGGGTGCTTTGCTGGTCACCCTGTAAGTTATTTATTTAGAATTCAAGGCACACTTAACCAGTATTGCTACCACAGCATTCTGCAGAGATACGCCATCCCATCTGGTTTGGGCTTAGTGGGACTATCATTTGTTTTTCAACAGGACAATGACCCAACACACCTCCAGGCTGTGTAAGAGCTATTTGACCAAGGAGAGTGATGGGGTGCTGCATCAGATGGCCTGGCCTCCACAATCCCCCAACCTCAACCCAATTGAGATGGTTTGGGATGAGTTGGACCGCAGAGTGAAGGAAAAGCAGCCAACAAGTGCTCAGCATATGTGGGAACTCCTTCAAGACTGTTGGAAAAGCATTCCTCATGAAGCTGGTTGAGAGAATGCCAAAGGGGTGGCTACTTTGAAGAATCTAAAATATATCTTTATTTGTTTAACACTTTTTTGGTTACTACATGATTCCATATGTGTTATTTCATAGTTTTTATGTCTTCACTATTATTCTACAATGTAGAAAATAGTAAAAATAAAGAAAAACCCTTGAATGAGTAGGTGTGTCCAAACTTTTGACTGGTACTGTATGTTTGGTACTTGACAGTCAGGTCATTTGTGGCTAGATTTTTGCAAGAGAGCAGTGCTGACTATGAGAGTAGAGAGCTACTGTGTGTTGGAGTTGGACTGAGTCTGCTGTCCTCTTTGCCGCCCTCTCTTAGCCAGAGGACTGGGTGGAGGAGGGGCGCTCTGCTCCGTTATTAGAAGCAGATTGGAGAGTTTCCTGTTTTAGCGTGCTAGCAGCACCAAGGTCTCTCTCTCTCTCCCTTTTTCTCTCTCCCCTAATTCTTCTCCCAGCAGACACAATACTCGGACACATCTGCTTAAGAATTAAAAATAGCATGCCTTTGTCTCAACACCTCTCCGTCTCTCCCTCCATTTCTCTCTCCCCCGCTCTCATCGTTCTAATATCCTTGGTTCTTCACATCTTGTCCCATCACAGGCGGAGGGGGACCGGCTGCCCCCTGGCCACACAGTGAGCCAGCTGGAAACCTGTAAGATCCGGAGTATCCGGGCGGGAACGCTGGAGCGGCTGGTGGAGACCCTGCTGACGGCGTTCGGGGACAATGACCTCACCTACACCAGCATCTTCCTGTCCACGTACCGCGCCTTCGCCAGCACACACACCGTGCTTAAGCTGCTGTTAGATAAGTACGTCTGGGTCTGGGGGCCATGGTGGCTGTAGTGTACAGCAGAGGCTGACAACTCCTGGTCCTGGTGGGTCCAATGTGTGCAGGCTTTTGTCACAGCCATAGTGCTATAACACCTGGTTCAAATAATCAGCTAATCATCATGATTTTTATGAGGTGAATTGTATGTATAAGTGTTGGGCTGGGACACACTGTGGCTGGAGAACAATGGCTGAGGAACACTACTGCTCTACATTGAGAGGCTAAGGAAACGTATTGGTCTCACTTCTTTTACAGACTGATGGTAGACGTTGGTGCTGAAATGTTATTTTCTTGGTATTTTTCTCAGATATGGAATTGCAGAGGATAGTGAAGGACAGATGGAACGATGTAGACCCTCTGAAACCAAAGGAGCCGTTCGAACGTAAGATTTCTCAACATCTCCTACTTACTTAGTCTGTCTGTCCGTCTGTCTGTCTTTGCTTGCTTTCCATATGGATTCAAGCGGAGTTGTTGCTGAGTTGTTATTGTGTAGCTCCCCAGTCTGCCTTTCCCTCTGTCAGCAGCAGCTTGCTCCCAGCAGCCTTCCCTGACTTTCTCTCTGCCCTCCCCCCTCCCTCCTCCCCCTCAGTGCCCTGGCCTCCATCCTGCGAGTCTGGCTGGACCAGTGTCCAGAGGACTTCCAGGAGCCTCCATCTTACCCCTGCCTCCACAGGGTCATGGCGTATTTACAGAGGGCCCTGCCTGGATCGGAGCCCATTCGTAGAGCCCAGAGTCTACTGGAGCAGCTGCAAGCCGAGGCTAGTCTGGATCCAGACTCCGAGGGTGGGTGAACAATCTAAGATATCTAGTTCATTAGTACTCTATCCTCCCTCAATTCTGTAGTCTTCTTATCTTTGTCTCTATCCCTCTGCTTCTGTTGTCTATCTCTCTCTCTTCTTAATTTCTCTCTCTATTTACTTATATCTCCATCTATTTCTCTCCATCACAGTGCTGCCAATTCTCACGCATTGGCATGAGACACACAGATTTGACCCTCTTCACACGCCACACCTCTTATTTCTCACGCATTGAAAAAAGTAGGCCTGCTGCTTTTCTTTTCTGATGAATACAGTGTATGTTCAGTGCGTTAACTTTTCAATTGATCCATAATTTTCCTGCCACCGCACTGTGAACCGCAGCAGATTGAAGATGGCGATTGGTTTAGTGAGGGTCCAGGACCAAGGTGATTGGATGCGCGTTTGTAAAGAAATGTCCCTCACGATTACCGTTGAGCAGCCTTTCTATGGGAGCAGCCACGGCAGACAGGACAGGCACGTTCGTTCTCCGCTGATCAAAGTTTATGAACTAAATGTTCAGAAGAGCAGCATGGCAACTTGAAGCTGTTTTGTACACATAACTGTCAAAAAGTGCATTTGCTGTCACTCCTGTCCCTGTCGCAGAAATACATTGAAAGATAATTTGGGTTTGGTGTAGGGGCAGATTTAGGCGAAGTCATCTTGTCTTCAGGAGATTTTATTATCTGTTTAATTTATTTGGTCTTTCACAACAGATTATGTAAGTCATTAGAACAATTACCATCCCCTACAATGGGCTAGAATATAGACTAATTAGTGTGCTTATTTCAGCAAGAACACTAATGTTATTCCCCAGACTTTTATTTTTTCACTTCTTAACAATGTTGCTGGTGTAATTAGGCTATTTTAAATCTGATATGCCAACTTGTCTTGAATAAATAAATAAAGTGAAATGAGGGCTATGCATTTATGGACAGTGTTGAATATAGGCTAAACTATAAAATGAGAATAGGCTATATTGAAATGCCCCTTGCCTCATATCCTGTTTTGTCATTTTAGTATTGTGCACAAGATCTTACCCATGTAGAGTAAGATGATGGCAAGGTTTTGCAAATCAGCCTCAACCACCTGAAAATTGATATTCATTCGATTTTTCTTGAATGTGGAGTACTGTGTAGAAATCAAAAGTCACATGAATATATTCAAACCTCCATTTTTACTTTTAGAATGTATTTATTTTTTGTGGGGATTGATCAGCTTTAATATTGCAGATAGATTGTAGCTTCCATCAATGTAATTGTCAGCATTACTTCCAATCCCGCATATATTTTTGACAGTACCAGTCAAAAGTTTGGACACACCTAACCATTCAAGGGTTATTCTACAATGTCAAAATAAAGAAAAACCCTTGAATGAGTAGGTGTGTCCAAACTTTAACCCTGGCTAGGGGTGGAGCCAATGACATTCACTCGAGAGATCTCACTCGAATCTATCTTCAAAAGTTGGCAGCCCTGCCATCAATAATGAAATCATTCATCTGATCATTACTCCTCTTGGTAGGTTTCTCCGGCGGTTTCCATGGCAACAGCTCCTTCTGCTTGGGTGAGGATGAGGAAGTGGAGATTGAGGTCCAGGAAGACTTCCTGTCATTTGATGCAGATTTGGTTGCTGAGCAGCTAACCTATATGGATGCGGTAAGAGAAAGGCTGAGGGAGGCTGGGTTGGAGTATGGATTTCCAGGTGGGATTTGAACAATACAGGATAAATATACGTTTTAAAGTAACTGTCCAGTGTTACCATATTTCTATGAAATATGACCTATAATTAATTACAATATGAGTGAAGTAGTTTTCCTTTAAAACAATGATAATTAAATATGTTAAAAAGCAGCTTTTCTGTGTTCGAATGATGTGTGCGTACCCCAACAGAATGGTCATAATTTAAAATATTAATGCGAGTAGACCGCTGATTTGGCCAGCTCAGCCAATGAGCCAACATGACATCATGTTCTATGAAGAAATAGCAAGCATTTTTAAGATACAAGTTTGAGGTGGGGGTTTTTCTCCAACTTATGCTTTGGCCACAAATACGATATAGGACGAGTCAACAACAATATTTGGGTAGGTAAGCGTTAACAGAATATTATGTTTTTTTTAAGTCATATTTTCACTGGACAGTTACAGTTGAAGTCGGAAGTTTACACACACTTAGGTTGGAGTCATTAAAACTCGTTTTTCAACCACTCCACAAATTTCTTGTTAACAAACTATAGTTTTGGCAAGTCGGTTAGGACATCTACTTTGTGCATGACACAAGTAATTTTTCCAACAATTGTTTACAGACAGATTATTTCACTTATAATTCACTGTATCACAATTCCAGTGGGTCAGAAGTTAAAATTCACTAAGTTGACTGTGCCTTTTCCAAACGAGCTTGGAAAATTCCAGAAAATGATGTCATGGCTTTAGAAGGTTCTGATAGGCTAACTGACATAATTTGAGTCAATTGGAGGTGTACCTGTGGATGTATTTCAAGGCCTACCTTCAAACTCAGTGCCTCTTTGCTTGACATCATGGGAAAATCAAAAGAAATCAGCCAAGACCTCAGAAAAATTATTGTAGACCTCCACAAGTCTGGTTCATCCTTGGGAGCAATTTCAAAACGCCTGAAGGTAGCACGTTCATCTGTACAAACAATAGTACGCAAGTATAAACACCATGGGACCACGCAGTCGTCATACCGCTCAGGAAGGAGACGCGTTCTGTCTCCTAGAGATGAACGTACTTTGGTGCTAAAAGTGCAAATCAATCCCAGAACAACAGCAAAGGACCTTGTGAAGATGCTGGAGGAAACAGGTACAAAAGTACAGTGGCTAGCGAAAGTATTCACCCCCTTGTCATTTTTCCTATTTTGTTGCCTTACAACCTGGAATTAAAATTGATTTTTTGTGGGGTTTGTATAATTTGATTTACACAACATGCCTACCACTTTGAAGATGCAAAATAAAAAAAAATGTGAAACAAACAAGAAATAAGACAAAAAAACTGAACTTGAGCGTGCATAACTATTCACCTCCCCAAAGTCAATACTTTGTAGAGCCACCTTTTGCAGCAATTACAGCTGCAAGTCTCTTTGGGTATGTCTCTATAAGCTTGGCACATCTAGCCACTGGGATTTCTGCACATTCTTCAAGGCAAAACTGCTACAGCTCCTTGAAGTTGGATGGGTTCCGCTGGTGTACAGTCATACCACATATTCTCAATTGGATTGAGGTCTGGGCTTTGACTAGGCCATTCCAAGACATTTAAATGTTTGCCCTTTAACCACTTTAGCAGTATGCTTAGGATCATTGTCCTGCTGGAAGGTGAACCTCCGTCCCAGTCTCAAATCTCTGGAAGACTGAAACAGGTTTCCCTCAAGAATTTCCCTGTATTTAGCACCATCCATCATTCCTTCAATTCTGACCAGTTTCCCAGTCCCTGCTGGTGAAAAACATCCCCACAGCATGATGCTGCCACCACCATGCTTCATTATGGGGATGGTCTTCTCGAGGTGATGAGAGGTGTTGGCTTTGCGCCAGACATAGCGTTTTCCTTGTTGGCCAAAATGCTCAATTTTAGTCTCATCTGACCAGAGTACCTTCTTCCATATGTTTGGGGAGTCTCCCACATGCCTTTTGGTGAACACCAAACGTGTTTGCTTATTTTTTTCTCTAAGCAATGGCTTTTTTCTGGGCACTCTTCCGTAAAGCCCAGCTCTGTGGAGTGTACGGCTTAAAGTGGTCCTATAGACAGATACTCCAATCTCCGCTGTGGTGCTTTGCAGCTCCTTAAGGGTTATCTTTGGTCTCTTTGTTGCCTCTCTGATTAATGCCCTCCTTGCCTGGTCCGAGAGTTTTGGTGGGCGGCCCTCTCTTGGCAGGTTAGTTGTGGTGCCATATTCTTTCAATTTTTTATAATGGATTTAATGTTGCTCCGTGGGATGTTCAAAGTTTCTGATATTTTTTTCTAACCCAACCCTGATCTGTACTTCTCCACAACTTTGTACCTGACCTGTTTGGAGAGCTCCTTGGTCTTCATGGTGCCGCTTGCTTGGTGGTGCCCCTTGCTTAGTGTTGTTGCAGACTCTGGGGCCTTTCAGAACAGGTGTGTATATACAGTGAGGAGAACAAGTATTTGATACACTGCCGATTTTGCAGGATTTCCTACTTACAAAGCATGTAGAGGTCTGTAATTTTTATCATAGGTACACTTCAACTGTGAGAGACGGAATCTAAAACACAAATCCAGAAAATCACATTGTATGATTTTTAAGTAATTAATTTGCATTTTATTGCATGACATAAGTATTTGATACATCAGAAAAGCAGAACTTAATATTTGGTACAGAAACCTTTGTTTGCAATTACAGAGATCATACGTTTCCTGTAGGTCTTGACCAGGTTTGCACACACTGCAGCAGGGATTTTGGCCCACTCCTCCATACAGACCTTCTCCAGATCCTTCAGGTTTCGGGGCTGTCGCTGGGCAATACGGACTTTCAGCTCCCTCCAAAGATTTTCTATTGGGTTCAGGTCTGGAGACTGGCTAGGTCACTCCAGGACCTTGAGATGCTTCTTACGGAGCCACCCCTTAGTTGCCCTGGCTGTGTGCTTCGGGTCGTTGTCATGCTGGAAGACCCAGCCACGACCCATCTTCAATGCTCTTACTGAGGGAAGGAGGTTGTTGGCCAAGATCTCGCGATACATGGCCCCATCCATCCTCCCCTCAATACGGTGCAGTCGTCCTGTCCCCTTTGCAGAAAAGCATCCCCAAAGAATGATGTTTCCACCTCCATGCTTCACGGTTGGGATGGTGTTCATGGGGTTGTACTCATCCTTCTTCTTCCTCCAAACACGGCGAGTGGAGTTTAGACCAAAAAGCTCTATTTTTGTCTCATCAGACCACATGACCTTCTCCCATTCCTCCTCTGGATCATCCAGATGGTCATTGGCAAACTTCAGACGGGCCTGGACATGCGATGGCTTGAGCAGGGGGACCTTGCGTGCGCTGCAGGATTTTAATCCATGACGGTGTAGTGTGTTACTAATGGTTTTCTTTGAGACTGTGGTCCCAGCTCTCTTCAGGTCATTGACCAGGTCCTGCCGTGTAATTCTGGGCTGATCCCTCACCTTCCTCATGATCATTGATGCCCCACGAGGTGAGATCTTGCATGGAGCCCCAGACCGAGGGTGATTGACCGTCATCTTGAACTTCTTCCATTTTCTAATAATTGCGCCAACAGTTGTTGCCTTCTCACCAAGCTGCTTGCCTATTGTCCTGTAGCCCATCCCAGCCTTGTGCAGGTCTACAATTTTATCCCTGATGTCCTTACTCAGCTCTCTGGTCTTGGCCATTGTGGAGAGGTTGGAGTCTGTTTGATTGAGTGTGTGGACAGGTGTCTTTTTATACAGCTAACAAGTTCAAACAGGTGCAGTTAATACAGGTAATGAGTGGAGAACAGGAGGGCTTCTTAAAGAAAAACTAACAGGTCTGTGAGAGCCGGAATTCTTACTGGTTGGTAGGTGATCAAATACTTATGTCATGCAATAAAATGCAAATGAATTACTTAAAAATCATACAATGTGATTTTCTGGATTTTTGTTTTAGATTCCGTCTCTCACAGTTGAAGTGTACCTATGATAAAAATTACAGAACTCTACATGCTTTGTAAGTAGGAAAACCTGCAAAATCAGCAGTGTATCAAAAACTTGTTCTCCCCACTGTATATACTGAGATCATGTGACACTTAGATTGCACATAGGTGGACTTTATTTAACTAATTGTGTGACTTCTGAAGGTAATTGGTTGCATCAGATCTTATTTAGGGACTTCATAGCAAAGGGGGTGAATACATATGCACGCACCACTTTTCCGTTATTAATTTTTTTGAATTGTTTGAAACAAGTTCTTTTTTTCATTTCACTTCACCTATTTGGACTATTTTGTGTATGTCCATTACATGAAATCCAAATAAAATTCCATTTAAATTACAGGTTGTAATGCAACAAAATAAGAAAAACGCCAAGGGGGATGAATACTTTTGCAAGGCACTGTATCTATATCCACAGTAAAACGAGTCCCATATCAACATAACCTGAAAGGCCGCTCAGCAAGGAAGAAACCACTGCTCCAAAACCGCCATAAAAAAGCCAGACTACAGTGGACAAAGATCATACTTTTTGGAAAAAATAGAACTGTTTGGCCATACTGACCATCGTTATGTTTGGAGGAAAAAGGGGGTAGCTTGCAAGCCAAAGAACACCATCCCAACCGTGAAGCACGGGGGTGGCAGCATCATGCTGTGGGGCTGCTTTGCTGCAGGAGGGACTGGTGCACTTCACAAAATAGATGGCATCATGAGGAAGGAAAATTATGTGGATATATTGAAGCAACATCTCAAGACATCAGTCAGGAAGTTAAAACTTGGTCGCAAATGGGTCTTCCAAATGGACAATGACCCCAAGCATACTTCCAAAGTTGTGGCAAAATGGCTTAAGGACAACAAAGTCAAGGTATTGGAGTGGCCATCACAAAGCCCTGACCTCAATCCTATAGAAAATGTGTGGGAAGAACTGAAAGCGTGTGCGAGCAAGGAGGCAAAGAAATAAAAGCTGAAATAAATCATTCTCTCTACTATTATTCTGACATTTCACATTCTTAAAATAAAGGGGTGATCCTAACTGACCTAAGACAGGGATTTTTTTACTAGGATTAAATGTCAGGAATTGTGAAAAACAAAGTTTTTAAATGTATTTGTCTAAGGTGTATGTAAACTTCAGACTTCAACGGTACTTTAAAAGTTTTAATGTGGTCCTCTGTAGCTCAACTGGTAGAGCACGGCGCTTGTAACGCCAAGGTAGTGGGTTCGATCCCCGGGACCACCCATACACAAAAATGTATGCACGCATGACTGTAAGTCGCTTTGGATAAAAGCGTCTGCTAAATGGCATATTATTTAATACTAATAGTCTCATTGTTTGTCCGTTTCCAGTTGTTGTTCAAGAAGGTTGTTCCTCATCACTGCCTGGGCTCCATCTGGTCCCAGAGGGATAAGAAGCAGAACAAGCACAGTGCTTCCACCATCCGTGCCACCATCACCCAGTTCAATGCTGTGGCAGCATGTGTGGTCAGTACCATACTGCACCGACGCCAGATCCGCCCACACCTCAGGGCACGGGTCATCCAGCGCTGGATAGACGTCGCTCAGGAGTGTCGCATGCGTAAGAACTTCTCCTCGTTGCACGCCATCGTATCTGCACTGCAGTCCAACCCACTCTACAGACTGAAGAGGGCCTGGTCCTGCGTGCACAAGTGGGTCTTTCACAAGCTGAATGCATATGAATTGATTAGTCACAACTCATGTGATGTAGTTCCTATGCATTCCCAATTAGTTCTAACCTTTCTCTATGTCATTTCCACAGAGACAGCATGTCTACGTTCGAGGAACTATCAGACATCTTCTCAGATCACAACAACTACCTGACCAGCCGAGAGCTGCTGATGAGGGTGAGACTCTTCCCTGGGAATACCATAGACATTGTGGATGTTGAGGAAGTGGTTGATTGATGATTAATTGATTGATTCAAGTAGTGATTTGATATTTACACAATCTACTCTTTCCCCTACAGGAGGGCACCTCTAAGTTTGCCAATCTGGAAGGCTGTGCTAAGGATCACCAGAAACGCACTCACAAACGACTCCAGCTGCAGAAGGAAATGGTGAGAGATGGAGCAATGAGCACTATGAGTTTGCGGCCCTGTTTGTTTCCGTTTCAGGAAAGGGGTAAAAGTGAGATGCTTGGCTGTGCCTGCTGATGTATTGGGATGGTTTAACCTATGTGTTGTCTCTCCTCCCAGGGTGCCATGCAGGGGACGATACCTTACCTGGGCACATTCCTGACAGACCTGACCATGCTAGATACTGCTCTGCCAGACCTAGTAGAGGTGAGCCTTACTATCATCCTACTCACTCATTATGTGTGGTTGTAGAGACTCCTTGTGTGTTGTGACCACTGTTTGCAACTAGAGGATGAGTTTCCATGAGTATGTGAGGAATTTGTTTGGCAGTTTTTGGAGAAGTCCACCGCTGTTTGTCTTGGCAGCCCAGCGTGGTATGAAAGTTCAATCTTTCACAGTGTCCTCTTTGTGTCTTCTGCAGGGTGGGCTCATCAACTTTGAGAAGAGGCGAAGGGTGAGTGTAATTTTCAACCTGTTCTAAACCACTCATTAGGTGATTAGGAAAAGTAATTCATGTTAGTAGTGTCAGCTCAATTGACATGACTGACATTGATCTCTCTCTCTCTCTCTCTTTCAGGAGTTTGAGGTGATAGCTCAGATCAAGCTGCTGCAGTCTGCATGTAACAGCTACTGTCTGAGTGCTGACGCTGCCTTCCTGCGCTGGTTCAAGAGCCAGCCCCAGCACAGTGAGGAGGAGAGGTACAAACATCATCAATCATTCACACTATATATATCACTACATCAGCTCTCTCTATCCGCTGCTCTATCTTTCTTTCTGATTGTTTTACTCAGGCTAAGTGGACTGGTAGCAGTGATGTCATGATTCTTTTTGGTTTCTCTTGCAGCTATGCCATGTCTTGTGACATTGAAGGAGTGGGAGACAGCAGTCCTACTTCACCCAAACCTCGCAAGAGCATGGTCAAGAGACTTAGCCTGTAAGTACACTCTGGAGGAATTATAACATATACTGTACTTGACATTTAGATTTAAAAGAAATCTACCCTGAATAATAGACATTATTGTAATGGTGTAGAATTCCTCTGACTACAATCAGTTTTGGAACCTTAGCCTTTGACATAATATTGATGTTTTAACAGGAATCTATTAAATCATTGTTTATATTAGATCCATCTGACCGATGTGTTCCTTTTTTTTTTTTACCTGTCTTTTTTTCTCTGTCAGACTGTTTCTGGGAGTAGACTCCTCGGCAGTGAGTTCCCCGGTGAGGGAAACACCTCAGTCGCCCCCTACTGGCAGCTCTGGGGAGAGCATGGACTCAGTAAGCGTGTCGTCCAGTGATTCCAGCCCTTCAGAAAGCGAGGGCCTGGCCATGACACCTATACACACCTCCGACACTCAGCAGAACAAGGTATGGCACTAAGATACTTGTGTTGTATTTTTGTTGTATTTAGTTGGTGGGGGTTTTGCGCAAGCCCTATTGTTTTTTTTCTTTCTATTCTGTATTTTGTTTACCAATGTGTGCAAATAAAGTATGGAGGTCGTTTGTGTGCTAACTACTATGCGTCATCTGTGTGTCTCCAGTTGTCCGAGTCTTCCTCCTGTACTTCTCTCCACTCCATGGACACCACCTCGTCCTCAGCCAGTGTTCCAGTGACCCCGGCCTCTCCCTCTCTCCCCGGGCCACCCTGCATGCACCGTCGCTCTGTCTCCCTGACACCCATGTCCCCCTCCTCCCCCCTGCCCCCGGCCTACAACACCCAGGCCCAGGACGCCTGTATCATCAGAGTCAGCCTGGAGCAGGGCAACGGCAACCTCTACAAGAGCATCCTGGTACGTCTCATGTTAAGATGTGTGATTATGATTGTGAAAATGTCTCTAAAGGTGGTTCAAAAGTGACGATTCACACTGATTTTGATATTAAAATATGTTGTGTTGTTTCCTCCCCAGTTGACGAGTCAGGATAAGACTCCAGCAGTGGTCTCTAGAGCTGTGGCCAAACACAACCTGGAGAGTGAGCCTGGGGAGGGATACGAGCTGGTGCAGGTCATCTCTGACGAGAGAGGTACAAACATTCTCCCTGACACTCTTTTTAGCCTCTGAGTTTTGATAATATTGTGAAAAAGTCATTTAAAAAACCTTCCTTTTTCAGAGCTGGTGATTCCAGACAACGCCAACGTCTTTTACGCCATGAACACCTCAGCCAACTTTGACTTCCTGCTGCGTGTGCGAGGCACTGCGGGGAGGCCGGTCCAGCTGAGAAGTCGCTGCGCCTCCACACTCCCCCGCGCCCAGCAGCGCTCCAGCCTGTCTCTGCGCCTCAGCAAGGTCACACTGTGACTCCCAGGACAAGGGCATGAGGCCTGGAGGGACCCCAGACTGGAGGGGGTGGGAGACTGAGAAGGACCAGGCATGGGGGAATGAGTTGAAGTCAATGAGATGATAGACTCTGAATACCCTATTCCCAAATCCCCTGTCCCCAATCGGACCCCCACCTCTCAGTACTCACACACATCCCCCAACTCCAGTAGCAGCCTGTGGCCTTCCAATCCCTGTCACCCCCCAACCCCTATGGACTATTATGGATGTGTAGTGGGACTGCAGTGCCATATAGAATATAGATGCCTTTGGCAGAGCGAGACAGTGCCCCCCCCCCCCCCCCCCCCCCCCAACCTGCCTCTCTCCACATGAAGAGGTTTTGCACACGCAGGAGGAGTGACTCCTGCCCTCCATCAGTATTCAGCTTTTTTTATCCACTCTTTTCTTTCCTGTGATGCCTGTGTTATGTGTCCCATTCAGAGGGAGATGGGAGCATGGAAGGAGAGTGAGACTGAGATGTCCAGTCCTGTTGCCTTTATTAATGATGATGAATGGTGAACTCTTGTGTCAGTGTTAATCTGGGTGATTGATTGACAGGAGCTGTGTGATGTCATTATCTTCCTTCTTTGTTTCCTTCACATCATTGTGTGCACTGTGTGTAACACACCGGACTGCGCCTCTCATATTGTGAGCTGTGTGACGAATGCCATTATAGAGGCATTCTGATAGGTTCCTACTTGGTTTTAACAAGTCCTTTCTTTTTGAACTTGCATAGCTGTCCTATCTCATCTGTATGGTGTAGTGACACATAGGATGGGTCTCTATGTGAGGCCAGGATTGAGCTGCCTGCCGCGCTGATTAGCAGTCCTAATAGAGATGCACTTGTTGGTGGCTAGGTGACGTCAGGAAGTGGAATGAGTGACCTACTCTCATCTCATCTTCTTATTTTCACCTCTGCACAAAATGAAGTATAGTTTTGTTTTCCTCTGATTTGTTTTTTTACAGGGCAGAAGAAAGAAAAATATGTATCAACAAACTTGGAGAGGGTTACAAAGGACGATGTTCTTAAATTATATGTGAATTCAGATTGTCAGAAAAAAAGCCAGTGCCAGATTTGCTGTGCTGCATTTGGAATCGTGACAGAGGGACAGACTGCCACTCTAGTGCTCAGTGGGTGCACATTACATTAATGAGTACTGGGGTTTATTCAGGAGGGTGCATGGTTAAGGTCTATCTACAGAACACTCCGTCACTTACCATGTGCACTTGGGTGGAGTCACATTTTTTAGAGCAACGCGCACCTTTTGGTAACATGATACCCTCGTCGGTCCATGTGTTCCTAGACCCCCGATTTATAAACATTCACAAGGCGGCGATAGCAGATATTTTCTTGTTGTCTTCCCATTTGTGATTAAACGAAGAATCACGTTGAAAACTACCACTGTTGGCTAATTTCAAAGAAAACCAACTGCATTTTTGAATAATAGCTACATGTAATGAAAGTTTCGGTTTGTTTTACAGTACCTCATTTTGTGCCTGCCAGTTGGCTGTAGGCTAAAAACAGCAAGCAAGCTAGCCTCCGATATCTTCCCCATGTGAAATAATCAGAAATATAATTAAATAAATGCCCTGGCAAATATTATTATACTTGCCAGTGTAACCTACAACATTATTCCAGTTTAATATGCTGCTTGAATGTATTCGCTCCCATATCAGCTAAAGATAGAATGTCATCATTTTTGCTCATGGAGAAAAAGCACATGGCTAGCAGCTGTTTTTACCATTTAAAAATAGCCACGAAATACAAGTAGTTATTACTTCTAAACAAAATGCCTATACTGTTGTTTGGTTTATTGTTTGAACAGTCACTGAGATTATATTTAGTTATCAATGCAAAATAGGCTACTTTGGTTCATAGCATCAGATCAAGGAACAGCGTTTATACTTCCATCACTTTTGTTTTCACGGATTTATAGCAACACTGGTGCTGATTTTTAGAGCAAATTGATAGATGTAGACTTAATTATTTCGTGAAACCAGTGGTGTAGTGAAGGGTAACGTTTTGCGGAAAAATGTATTGAAAGTATAAAGAGCTTTACTTTTCGCACCACGACTGGCGATAAGTTTACCCACACCCACACCCCCTTCCCATATTATTATTTTTTTACCACTACATCAGTGTGTGAAACAACTTTGTGCCAAAAGAGAAAGGAACAAAATCTATTTTTTGGGGTTCCATTTCAACCAAGTGAGTTTGGTGGTAAAATACAGCCTCATTATCTACACAACAGTGTCCCCACCCTCACACAAGGAATAATACATTGCATTTCCACATTTTGGTGGAGAAAATCTGCGTAGCAAGCAACTGGGCAGGCTTACGTTCTAAAAAGAGCCGCCGATTTTGTGATGCAAAACGACATTCAAGTTCTGCGTTTCGCTCCGTTTGAGTAAACGTTCAGATGGAAATGTACTGTGCAGAACAGACTGTCATTCAGAATAGGCAGTCATGTCTGCTCTTACATTACAACATTCTGAACATTGCAGCCCCCTGTGCACCGAGCTTCAGCAAATCACTCACTCCCAATAGTTTGAGTCACAGACGATATTTTAAAAAAATCACACTAGCCCACACTATGACACTAACTCATTTCCTCCTGTGCCCAGGCCTCTACACACACACACCTCCCACTAACAGAATCCCATGCCGGCTCCCACACACTGCCTAACCAGCATTAACACCACCACCCCATCTGCCACACACACACAGAATGCTGTCCCTACTGTGCCATATACACTCCTCTTTTTCATACCTATTCTCTCCATCACACTGTGGTTATGGCTAGAACACTCGTTCTCTAATACTGACATTCTGGCCATTTCACTGAGAGCAGTGTACTGGTCTGTTATTGGTCTTACTAAAGGCTAGGCAAGGTTTACTCTGTGGGCGATTTCCCCCTGTCTTGATTCTCATTAAGCACTTGTGATTTTTCTCTCATGAACTTTCTGTGTACTTCTTCACTGCCAAAGAATTCTCTACCTAAATAAATTATTATCATTACTATGATTGACTTTTGTTTGTTTGACCTTGAACAAACGTATAAGATTTCCAGAGTTAAACGATACTTCCAATTATTATTCTGGTACAAACAATGGGTTATAACTGTGTTATTACCATTGAACGATATACAGTGCCTTGCAAAAGTATTCATCCTCCATGGCGTTTTTCCTATTTTGTTGCATTCCAACCTGTAATTTAAATTGATTTTTATTTGGATTTCGTGTAATGGACATACACAAAATAGTCCAAATTGGTGAAGTGAAATGAAAATAAGAACTTGTTTCAAAAAATTATAAAAAAGAATTAACAGAAAAGTGGTGCATGTATATGTATTCACCCCCTTTGCTATGAAGCCCCTAAATAAGATCTGGTGCAACCAATTACTTTCAGAAGTCACATAATTAGTTTGATTGCACTCAGGTGGACTTTATTTGAGTGTCACATGATCTCAGTATATATACACCTGTTCTGAAAGGCCCCAGAGTCTGCAACACCACTAAGCAAGGGGCACCACCAAGCAAGCGGCACCATGAAGATCAAGGAGCTCTCCAAACAGGTCAGGGACAAAGTTGTGGAGAAGTACAGATCAGGGTTGGGTTATAAAAAAATATCAGAAACTTTGAACATCCCACGGAGCACCATTTTTAAATCCATTATTTTAAAAATGGAAAGAATATGGCACAACAACAAACCTGCCAAGAGAGGGCCGCCCACCAAAACTCTCGGACCAGGCAAGGAGGGCATTAATCAGAGAGGCAACAAAGAGACCAAAGATAACCCTGAAGGAGCTGCAAAGCTCCACAGCGGAGATTGGAGTATCTGTCCATAGGACCACTTTAAGCCGTACACTCCACAGAGCTGGGCTTTACGGAAGATTGGCCAGAAAAAAGCCATTGCTTAGAGAAAAAAATAAGCAAACACGTTTGGTGTTCACCAAAAGGCATGTGAGAGACTCCCCAAACATATGGAAGAAGGTACTCTGGTCAGATGAGACTAAAATTGAGCTTTTTGGCCATCAAGGAAAACGCTATGTCTGGCGCAAACCCAACACCTCTCATCACCCGAGAACACCATCCCCACAGTGAAGCATGGTGGTGGCAGCATCATGCTGTGGGGATGTTTTTCATCGGCAGGGACTGGGAAACTGGTCAGAATTGAAGGAATGATGGATGGCGCTAAATACAGGGAAATTCTTGAGGGAAACCTGTTTCAGTCTTCCAAAGATTTGATACTGGGACGGAGGTTCACCTTCCAGCAGGATAATGACCCTAAGCATACTGCTAAAGCAACACTCGAGTGGTTTAAGGGGAAACATTTAAATGTCTTGGAATGGCCAAGTCAAAGCCCAGACCTCAATCCAATTGAGAATCTATGACTTAAAGATTGCTGTACATCAGCGGAACCCATCCAACTTGAAGGAGCTGGAGCAGTTTTGCCTTGAAGAATGGGCATAAATCCCAGTGGCTAGATGTGCCAAGCGTATAGAGACATACCCCAAGAAACTTGCAGCTGTAATTGCTGCAAAAGGTGGCTCTGCAAAGTATTGACGTTTTGGGGGGGGGGGGGGTGAATAGTTATGCACGCTAAATTTTTCTGTTTTTTTTTCTTATTTCTTGTTTGTTTCACAAGAAAATATATTTTGCATCTTGTGTAAATCAAATGATACAAACCCCCCAAAAATCAATTTTAATTCCAGGTTGTAAGGCAATAAAATAGGAAAAATGCCAAGGGGGGTGAATACTTTCGCAAGCCACTGTACTTGGTAATTTCTTTACAATAAAATGTTTCAATGAGATGACAAGTAACTATAAAGTCCTATAAAGCCAGTGCACCATATAATTTGTGGGCTTTGTAAATCATTCAAGTTATTTTGCTGAGTTGAATACATTTTTACTGACTTCAATGCAATCATGACCTATCCTCTCTTGAAGCTACATCCTGCTCATGTGCAAATTCATAGAAATTCATTGACAAACGTGTTTTAAAGCATTTTGAGCAAACAATTTAACCCTGAGAAAACATACATAAATACCCCAGAGCCAAGTCGATAGAGTATACATGGAAATCTAATATACAGTATTTTTGTTGAAGTCATCAGCTAATAAGGCAATCGAGTGAACATATTTTCATTGTTGAGATCGCCTCCATGAAAAATAAATATGCTTTATTTTGAAATCAGTTGCATATGTTCAGAAAAAGATGTGTAGAAACAACAGGTGAATGTTTGTTCAACAGAAACTGATTGTTCAGCGGCATGTCAGCC